AGCCCCAAAACAAGCTCTCGAACGCCGTATCTCGCCTTAGCCCCGATCGTCGGAAATAGCCACAAATAACCCTAAACTTGGAAAGACAGATAACTCTTTATCGTAAAAAACCCCCCACACACCCAAGCCCGTATCATCGCCATGAGGGGACAGCAACTGCTCTTAGGTTTGCAGCCCGGATGTGAATTTCCTCGAATCCGGGAGAAGGAGCAGGACATAACTTATGTTATGACGGTAAAGCACTCGGCATGCACAATTGGGGTGTTGTAAGTAAAGCGCCTAGTAGGTAATTGCCCGTGCTCTACTGCTTAAGTCACCAAGCCACTTTATTGGGTGAAGCTCAATCAATTCACCAGTCCTCCCACACAAGACCGCATTAGGACTCATAAGTACCAGTGGGGGTAAAAAAGACAGAAAATATGCTCCAATCACCCTTTGCTCTCTGCTAAGGGCTCGGGAGACAAGGTGCTGACACGACAGTAAGGAGGAATCTGGGAGTGATAGATGTGCCAGACGCATCCATAGCCCGCCTATTTATTGTAAGGCGTTCGCGGAGCTTCGTATGCATGTGAGGCACTATTACCTGTGAAGACGCCGGTGCTGACTGCGTACAATGAATTTTTTGGTACGCATTCGGGCAAGCCCCACCCGTTACCGTATCACGTCGCACATGACGGACGATCGGGTTTACTCGCTGAACATTTCAACCCATATTCGTAGATCAGGGCTATTGCCGGTGCTATATCGTCCCGCTGTGACACCCAGCTTATCGCTGATCTCCAGCAGAGGGTGCGTACAAATACCCCAGTAAATTCCCATGAATCATTATCATTTCACATCAACAGCAATTTGAATATACCTGTAGTACTGTTATTATCAATAATCAGAAATCAAAATGACTGAACTTCACATCACAGAAGATAACATCCCCCACCTTGATAGCAAAGTTACCATAGCAACTGGTAAAGCCTTCTGGCTCCACCAGCTCCTCTCACATAGTACCCCCAGGCTAACCACCAACCAACCAGGCGGCTGCGCCGGAATTGGCCTCGCAACAGCCAAGATCCTCACCTCAAAGGGAGCAACAGTAATTATAGCAGATTTGGCCTCACCTGCAGAAACCGTAGAGAACGCAACCTGGGTGAAGACCGACTTATCATCTTGGGACTCGCTTCAGGGCCCCTTCAAAGCCGCCAACCGGGTCGACATAGTAGTAGCCAACGCCGGTATCCTTGGCGACCCAAACTGGCTCGACGACAAACTGGACGAGATGGGAGAGTTGATGAAACCGAGTACGTCGGTGATAGATGTCAATATCGTCGGAGTGGCCATGTGCGCCAAGCTGGCAGTCAGCTACATGCGTAAAAAGGGTTCTGGGGGAAGTATCGTACTTTTTGCTAGTGGAATCGTGTATGAGCCTGGGGCGAAGGTGGCTCTGTATGCTACTTCGAAGTTTGCTGTGAGTACTTGGAATCTTCTTTTTCTTTTTCGCCTTCTCTAGCTCCTTGGCTGCAGGTGTATGCAGAGCTGATTGGATGGTACAGGTTACGGGAATGTTGAGGGGCCTAAGGCAATCCCTTATCAATGAAGATATTACTATCAACGCTGTTGCTCCAGGCGTCACGTCCACACAGCTTGTCAGTTCTTTCAAGCCGGCGTTCGTAGCAAAGAACGAACCCATGGGTACCCCCCCACGAGGTCGGTCTCGCCATCGTGTACTCTGCTGTTGCCAGGGAGCAGTCACGCAACCCCATTCCTGGAACATCCCCCAAGGATGCGGTGAACAGGCAGAGCGGGCGCTGGAACGGGAGGATGATTCATACCTTGAATGGAGGCAGAAGAGTCGTTTTTAGCGTTGAAGAATATCTGGGTGGGAGAGAAGGCATTCCGGGAGATGAGGGCTCAGGAACTAATCTTCCATGGGACGGCCGTCCCCGCACAGCTTTGAAGGTGGCGGTAATTGGAAGATGGATAATGTGACATCTGTCTGCAGTGATGAGTGATTTTCGATGATAGGTATCATCCTATTAGTTAGTTAGGTAGCAAATGGAATCAACGACACTACTTCAAAACAATCTGATAGGTGCCTTCTCACCTTGAACCAATTTGCTCCCATCAATTCCGAAACTCTCTGGTTGTTGATGTTTCACCCAGAAGGATGAGACGAGGCCAGAGCGATGGACGACCATTTTCCTCCCCCCGCCCACCCTCTAGCATTCCCCAACAGCCACATTCCTCGAGTGACTACTTATGATTCGTTCCCACTTCACTTTCTCACAAAAGCACACTCAGGCCCCGGTGTATCAAGGAAGAATCCCCCCAAGCACCAGAAGCCATTTCATAAAGCAGCCAGTACCGTAATCGCCCCTCTTCCATCCATGCAAAAAACTCAAATCCTCCCAATCCAATCCCACCACATTACAAAGGTCAACCACTTATTCGCCGGAACCTTTCCAGCCCCCCATCTAGTCAGATTCTTAAAACCGCTACGACGCCAGCAGTTTACTCCAACCAATCTGCCGATCGATTCCTCAATCCTCCCCATCCCCTCGTCTCTTGACACCCAACTCGATCCCGTCGGGCCACTCATGAGGGCAAAACTTCCACCCACCCTCCCTCCTTCCTTCACCGGTAAGATAGTAAATCTCATAACCTACAACCATAAACTAACATATATTTTTTTCAAAAATGTCCCCCCCCCTCTCCAACACTCCCACTCTCTAAGAAAGGTTATCCCTCTATGAGATAACGCCCCAATAAAATCCCTCCACAAGGTGCAAACTTCTCATTGGAGAAGACAACATAACCCATGAAAGTAGGTAAAACCCCTGGCACAGCACTACCCTCACCATATACGATTCGCTCACTCCCGCTGATCCCGAAGCTAGCTCTTTATCGTAGTATGATACGTTTTTTTTGCCCTTCTCGCTCCCTTGCCCACCACCCATAGGAGTTCCGCTTGTGCTCGCTCGGTCCCGGAACTCAGTGATGAGCTATGCACCTGCCATAACTCGCCAGTATCGGACAAACATCCCCAATAAGAAACAACCAACCCTTCGATCATATCGTATCGTCCTCATACCCAAGAGGTACCTGGCCATCCGATATCAGCACAAACCCAACCGAGGCATGCCCGAGCCCACTCGCTGGTAAACAACCCAACCCTCCCCGGAATATCCGTACCCTGTACCACACACCCGCTATATCCCCCCCTCCGGGAAACTTAACCAGCAGTTGAATAGGATGCCATGCTGTTTACCAATTTTAACCTCTCGGAGGCGGGGGGGGCAACTACCCAGCTAACTGCCTTCCTGGTCTACCCCCCTGCCGTTTTTTGTATGACGTACTTATAGACCAACAGTTATGGCCCTCCAGGGTAAGTTATGGCTTTAGCCAGAAGGCAGGCAAGTTCGATGATCCAGCGGTTCCTTATCAATCCCGTTATAATGCGGGGGGCAGGGGGAGGGGGGGTGAGGAAACGCACTTTTCATCGCCTGGGGAAGGAAGTGATACGATGGGCTCCACCATATAGTGCAATAGCACCGTGCAGTTTATTATATGTCGAGGCAGGGGGGGGGGGTATTTCAGGCTTGAGCGGAGGTTGTGGTCCCAGACTCGCCTGTTCTTGTAGGGCCTTCTTTGGAGGTGGGTTAGCAAAAGGTGCTTGGGTAGCATACCACTTTGCTTTCCGACTTGCTGACAGCTCAGTAAGTGAGAGCACACACCATGTACCCCCGATCACGAAACGTCTCAAAGAACCCCTACAGTAGCGCAGTTGTAGTTCTACTGCATTCATGTACCCCACCGCATCACAGAACAGAACATGCATACAGCCCGACACCCATTGTTACCAAACATGATGTACCTGCTCGCGCACAGGATCACGCTCATTCATTCATTCCCATCAAGTTTAACCATGCACCGCGAGCCTCCCTGCAAGAAGCCAAAAAGAAATCCCGCCGTCGCCGCCATCGCCTCCTTCCTCCACGGTATGATACAGCGCCACGCCTATCGATATCTAAATCTTCAAGAAGTTTTCCCATCCTTTTCCCCATCAACCACCCAGCAGATACCGAGCAGTAGCAGCAGCGAAACCTGAAACCCTACCTACCTATCTAACCAGCGTAAAACAAAATCCCACAAGAAATCGAGAAACAAAATAATTCCACGTCCTGCGCACGAGCCTACAAAGCATTCCAACCGCAATAGAGCAAGCAAGTAAATTTTCGAGTGACGCAACATGACCAAACAGGTAGAAAAATCCCACACTTCCAAACACGGAATCATCTTAGCTGTATTACCGCCTCTATTTCGCTTACAAGTGCAAGGTTTGCCGTACCGCTCCCTCGCCCCCTGTAAGTTCTCGCGGGGAAGGGGGAGGGGAAGGAAGGACATTTATATTGCATTGCATATATTGCATTTGCGAGTAAATTATGTAGGTAAGTAGACTAAGTAAGCGAGATTTGCTCACTTGGTCGCTTGCAGTTGTGTTGTTTACTGAGGGGGGGATTATTACGGGCTCGCGGTCTACTGTGGTGTATGGAGACAGGATATTTGTTATAATAGACTGGAGAGTTTAATGACACTAGTACAATACGCCAGAGCTACATTATTGAAGTTTGTCTACTCGAGTAAGTTAAGGTAAAGTAACTGTGGAATACACACACGTATTGTAGTATCACGTGAATGTCTGTCTATTGGTCAAATCCCCGCTTGCCATCCCCCGCTTGCCATCTTCCTACTGTAGCACCCATTTCCATTCCACTCCGCAGATCCTCTTGAAGGTGTCTAGCTAGACCAATCTCTTACTCTACTCGTACTCTCCTCTGCAAACCCTAGCGCACAGGTCCTTCTTCTCTCTTTCCTTCCAAAGTGGTCATGTTACCCAAATTATTGCACCGATTAGGCATCTCTCGCCTAATCGCCTCCTAAGCTTTCAAACGCTCTGGTTGGACGTTGGGGCTCAAATTTGATCACGTGATTACCGATTCAATTGGATATCGGGTCAAAGTTTCTTTTATTTAAATTTCCACGCTGTTTTTTTTTTATTAAAAAAAAAAAAAAAATAGCGTACGTATGTGTTTGGATGGGTGGATGGATGAATAAGGATAGGTGGGAGACAAGAAGCGGTAGGTACAGGAAGAGGGTGATTATTTCCTCGTGCTACGGAGGAAACAGGCGGTGGAGGGAGAGGGCTGAGTGGCATTGTTTGGAGGTTGGATAGGTGTGTAAGAGAGAATGATTACAGGTTATGGGAGAGGGTGGGTATTTGTAGAGTGAATTGTATGTAAAAAGAAACGGAGAGACGAGAAATACTCGAGTGGGGAGAGAGGGGAGGAGAGGAGGGAGGAGAGACGAGTGAGGAAATGTAACTAAGAAATAGGTATGATAATGTTCGTCAAGAAGACAAAAAGGGCGTAGACTAATACAATTGCTTGGGAAGGAGAAAGTGGGGAACGGAAAAAAAAGGACCTCGTACTGTATAGAAGAAAAGGGTCTGTTTCAGTGAAACAAACAAACAAATGCGTTTTTTTCCAAGGAATAAATGATATCCCGTCCCGTCCCGTTTCGTTCGTCTCGTGAATCGTATCTGGCCGCTCCGTCACGTGCACGTTCCTCTAACCTCAGGAAAAAGGGCTGGGAAGATAAAAATAAAAGGAGGGAATAATAAAAAAGGGAAAGGATTGGTATGGAATGGAAGACGGAGGAAATGGATGTCATGAGAATCAAAAGTGGGAAGAGAAAAAGGAAGGGGAAAAAAGAAAACCATAGCGACGTCAAAACTCCTCAACTTCCCTGTGGTAGTAGCAGCAAAGCAACCAATGATTCAAATAAATCACCCAGATTCCACTAAAAAGCCCTTTTAAAAAAAAAAAACAAATGAAATAATAATTCCCGGAGTAAACCGTGTAAAACTACCCATGCTGCAAACCAATTTGAAAAAGCGAATGGCGAAGAAAAAAAAAAAAAAAAAGTGATGAAAAAAACGCAATAGGAAGAAGAAAAAAATGAGGGTGGTTAGAAGGTCAAAGAGAACTAGGACACCTCATAATCCCGTTCGCCATCCGCATCTGCATCTCCTACATCGCCTTGCTCGTTGCTACCCCCTGCTCCTTGGGGATCTTGTAGATGACCACGCTGGCTGGGCAGTTGATACATCTGCTGAGCCAATAAACAAACACAATTAGGTATCGGCTATCTAAACGGTCCCGTGCTCGACAGCTGCGAAACAAATGACAGAATGAGGAGGAGGACATGGTCTTACCTGTTGGTGAGGAATGCCGGAATAATACATCTGTTCTACTGGTATTCCTTCCGAATACATCTGCTGTGGGTAACCTCCCTGAGGTGGCACCGCTCCAGTGTATATGTTCTGCTGCTGATATCTTTCAGGGTCCTGATTCATCCCAGGATGTCCAGGATGTCCAGGATGCCCAAGATAGTCCTGTGGAGGCATCTGGGGAGGTTGTTGAGGGGGGGGTTGTTGCTGCTGAGGGGGCTGTTGGGGAGGTTGTGGAGGTTGCTGCTGATGGCTTGGACCGCCGCCTCCACCACCGCCAGACCGCTTGGTATGAGATGCTTCCTCCCGCGGAACTATATCGATGAGAAAGTCAAACATATCGCTCTTCGCAAGAGCAGAAGCAATATCGGATCGCTGCAGCGTTCGGCGTTTATTCTCCTCGGCGTGTATCCAAGCGCGCATTGTGAGCTCTGTAATAAAGATGTCGCAACCCTTTGCAAATAGTATTGGTGCCTCGGCCGAGATCATTTTTACCTCCGGATCCGCTTTCATAACCTTCTTTATCCTCGCCAATGGTAACTGGTGCATTTTATAATCATGCTCCTCATTTTCGAGTTGATTTATAGTCTGCTGCCAATAGGTGGTGAGAATGTCGCGATAATGGCCATGGAGTCCTTGGGAAACCTGAATAACTTCCATCAATACGTTTGTTTTAAAGCAGGGAATAGAGTGAAGAATAAAGTTTTCGTTTTTTTCTGGGGAAGAAAATACATTTGAGAAGGGGCCGCTGTATATATCGGGTGCTGGAACTGAGGAGGACGCTACCAGCGCCGCGCTGGCTCCATACTGAATTTCATCGAACAGTTAGCATCTCTCCGCGCGCAACACATCACTGGGGCGGTGATGATTGAACACAATTCAAAAACGAAGGATGTGAAAATAGTCAAAACAAATAATTGTTTCATGAATGAAATAGGTTAGATTGACTGGCCCATCCACGAAGATGTCATAATGGAGGAAACATTGGGTTGCGGATGCTGTGACTGTGAAGGGTCGTTTCTAGAGCCCCCAGAGGGGAATTGTTGATCCATATTTTGCTTCGACAAAATGGTGACGGTCAAGGCTAGAATGAAATGGTGGTGAGGCTTTGGGGTTTGCAGACACAAGAATCGGATTTATGAGTGGAAGGATGACGGGAGGAGGACGAATTGCGGTAGATATAATAGATGAAACTGGTGGGCGAAGCTATATGTAGCGCAGGATCTGCACGAGATTGGTGGTTGTCGAAAACACACCACAGAGGTCAAGTAAAACACTGATGAACGAGGGTCGGGCCTTTTTTTTTTTTTTCCCTTCCTGTTGGATGTTCGTTGGTGGGGGGGGTGGTGGTGAAAGCTGTGAGAATTGGAACGCAGAGGAGATGGTGATGGATAATGTGTGGTTGAAGCACGGTAACCAGGTTGCGTGCGGTCAAGGGTTGGGGGGGGGCGTCTGGATCACGGCGAGAGAGTGGGTTCACAAGAATGCTGTAGGAGAGTAAGTATGGTATTGGGCAGGGAGTGTGTGGGTGATTGGAACTGGTGCAGGCCAGAGGAGACTCGTTAGGAGCTAGAAAATTGGAAATGTATCCGATCTATAACTCTTGTCTTCCCCGTTTCCTCACACGTATTTTTTTTACAGTACAATTCAGTAGTGATACTAGTAAAGAAAAATAAAACCGAGTATTGGGGTTGAAGGAGGCTGTTAAGTTGGTAGGGTAGTTTATGGTGATGGTGGTGTTTATGATGGCATTAAATTTTTACACTATCCCCGACTACCCTCTCTACGAGTACTTGTGTGCTCGTGCTGGCATTGTAACTGCAACGCACGCCTCAGTTTCTTTCCCTTCCTTCTATCTACGGTATCATACTTCCCCCCCCCAAACCCTTGCCACTCTGCCCAGTGTGATGCAGTACTGTACGAGTACTCTACACTACCAATACCAAGATTCTTATACCCTGCCTACCCTTCTGCTGCCCTCTAGTAACTTATTCCATTTCTCTGCCGAAACTACAAATCTCGGGAGGATAGCTAACCGGAGCGAGAAGGGAAAAGGGTAATCGTATCAAGAGTTACCATCGGTACTAGATCCCGTGCACAATTTTCCAGGGAAGAATTTTTTATTGTTTATTTTTTTATAATAAATTTACAGCAACTCACTTCGCAGGCTACGATTATCCTTTCTCTAAGTCAGTCAGTCAGGTCCAGTGCGTGATGTGTTCTTGCAGGCTACTTTGCAGAAGTGAAGCCTGCATGCGGCTAGGCTTGCGCAGCGTTTCCCCCCGTCTCAGCCTCATGGGTCTGCTTGCCTACCCTTCCTGCTTTCCACAACCCTAGCCACCATTTCCCACGCGGCTCTCAGCCTCTTACGATACTGTACTCGAGTACCCTATCCTACCATATCATCATACATATCCATACCCTACCACATTTTTTACCGACGCCGAGAATTAAAAACGAAAAAAACGATGAGAATAGAAGACAATCTCATGATGAAATAAGGTCGAAAAGGATGAAAAAGAAAGGGCACCCACCGTGAATTCAACTCACATCCAGTGAGTTTCTGGGAATGTCAAATCGGATTTCGGAATCGCTGGCTAATTCACCTTCTTTGGGGTTAGCGTTCCCACTTCTGTACTACTCTTCATCCAGTATTGGTTAGCGTGTGTGTGTAGGTTATGCGGCTTATGCCCTAGAAGCCACGCCCTCAGCTCTTTTTTTCCTCTTTCCTTTCTTTTTCTTTTGTTGTTCCGTTCCGTTTCTCGTTTTTTCCTCCCCCTCGTGTTTGTTGGTTGTCTGCCGTTTCAACTACTCCATTCATTCCTCCCCCCCCAACTTTCATCTCCCCTCCTTCCCACCCCCCCCCTTCCCCGCAATGCCAACAGAAGAAACCCCTGGTCTCCATAAGGAATCAGCAGAAGCAGAAGCAGTGCCAGAAGGAAATAGAATTGACGTGGTCGAGGGCCCACCCGCTCGCTTGTTTTCCTCATCTCATGTCCGCAGTGACGGTTTTGGAGACGATGTCGCTGAGCTGTCGGATGAAACAGTCGGCCGCCTGCTCAGCGAGGCGGAGGAAAGAATGAAATCCTCGTCTAAAACATTATCAACGTCCTCTAGCACTAATCGCAGCAAAACCTTGATGACAAAGTAAGTTTTTTCTCCTACCCTATCCTTTGCATGCCTCCCCCGCCTCCTCCCTCTTTTTATTTTGCTCCCTTTTCGTTTATCATGCTTCATGATACGTACCGTGTTTTCATGTATGCCCTCTCTCGGTGGTGTGGGTGTGGATGGTTGTCTTGTTGTATCGTTTTTTCTCCAAGGCCATATATATCTGCCTGCAATGGAACTGATACGTGTACAAAGATTCCCAAAGCTCAATCCCGGCGCTTCTTTGCCAAAGGCACCCATCAAATCCCAAGGCGCAGTTTCTAGAATTTCAGATCCTTCTCTTCTCGTACCCTCATCTGATCGTAAACTTGCGAACACATCAGCAGCTGCAGGAGGAGTATCCCTTGTGGATCCAGCGTTATCAAAGAAAAGGCTCAAAGAGGTTTTTATTCCCCCCCCCCCCACTATATTACTGTTTTTTCGATCAAATATTTTTATCCCCATTCCTACAAACTTCATCCCACATTCTCGGCATCTGCCTATGATGAGAATTTATCCCATTAGAACCTGAGCGAGAACGGGGCCCCGGCTTGGCGGCCCTACTTGCACTCCTGAATTTTTACTATTCATAATTACTCTGAGGCTTCCAATTCTAAATGTATCCGCTTTTTTTGATCGTTGTCAATACGACATGATGTCATATTACAATGTACTAACATTGTACCGCTCTAAATTCAGGACGAGAAAACTGCTGGATTGAAGTGGTTTGATATGCCGCGTACCAACCTGACCCCGGAATTTAAGCGCGACCTGCAGCTGATCAAGATGCGTGGCGTCCTTGACCCCCACCGCCACTACAAGAAGGACAACTCTTCCTTTCCAGAATATTCCCAGGTTGGGACCATTGTGGAAGGAAACGCCGACTATTTCTCCTCGAGGCTTAGAAATAAGGAGAGGAAACGGACGATCGCGGAGGAGGTCATGGCTGATGACAGTAGCCGCAAACGATTTAAGAACAAATACGAGGAGATACAGCGCAAGAAGAGGAGTGGTAAGAAGGAGTTCTACAAGAAACTCAAACAGCAACGGAAAAAGTCATCCGTCTAGTTTCGGATCAAATATCGCCCATGAAATTGGCCTGGCCTCTGTTAGACTTTACTTTTTTTTCCCCCCCTTTTTTCAATTTCTCGGATGTATCAATATGTCAAGGTCATGGGTGTTTCGGTTGGCGTTTCTTTGTCTTTGGCGTCCCCCAAGTTCCTCGGCTACACAAGACCAACAGGTTCGGAGGAAATGACACGAGGGAATCGCCGTTCCTTGGTAGCCCGCGGCATCCCCTAATGTACTCGTGGTACCGGTAGGCAAGAAGTATTTGGAAACAGGGGTTGTGGATTTGTATGGGCGCTCAGATACCGGTCCTCACGGATTTTCTGCCATATACTCGAGTATTTTGCGAATCCCTGCTTTCGGGTACCGTACTACCGTAGCGCATTACATTCTCAAATTTCCCCCATATCACATATCCTTACCCTTCTCCTCCTCCCCTGGCAATGCGGATGCTCTCACGTTGGCCAAGGGTAGTGGAGTGAGTGAGCAATTGAGGAGTGGAAAGGTTTAATGAAAAAGGCAAAATGAAAAATGAAATACCAACCAACGTTTGCCGTCCATAATCTTCTCAGTGTACCACGATTCACAAACCTTAACGGGCATAACGTACGGTACTTGTACCAGCCAAATTCTAATGATGTCTCGTGTCTCATGTCTCGCGTCATATTGCTGAGACAGTGCAGTGTTCCTGCGGCGGAGGGCGAGAATGAATGAATCAAAGGGAAGAAAATACGAGGCATCACATCATATCAATTTTCTTGTACATTGGAGGAAAAAAGAGAGAGAGAACGTTTGTTTGCGCCCAGAATGCCCTTTGAAGTTAAAAACTGAATTGAATTTACCATCGAGTGCCATACACCGATATCATAAGAGCAAAAGTCAGGAGGGCATGGAGGAAAAAGAAAAATTTACTCGAGATATAATATATCAGGGATAGGTTCACAAGATTAGAGTAATCCATGGATGGAAGGACCAAGAACGAAGAACAAAGTCAGCAGAAAACAAATATCACTTTTTTTGTTTTTGTGTTTTGTTTCGCATTAGGCTCAGAACCTATAAGTTTGAGAATCAAATCCTGGTTAGCCTCACCCCAGCCACAAAGCAGATCAGGCATCGGATATCGGAGCGGTTTGTGAAAGAGACATAAATGAAGGCAAGCTAGGGTGCAGTGTCGAATACGGGCATCCACCCCAACATGCCTTAGTACCCGAAGAGAACAATGGTTTTTTGGTTTTGGTTTTTTATAGAAAATAGAGTACCCGAACATTTGAGTCTGAATTTACCGGTAGTGTATGGGCGCTCAGATAATTCACAATACAAATTTTGATCCCTGTGTTCGTGCGGGTGTGTGGGTGTGTGGGTGTGGTGTAATGTGTAGAAGGGATTGGGGAACCATTAAAGGAAGGAAACAGGGGGGGGAGAGGGGCGGCAAGTTACACACCTTATTTCGTAAGATCCAGCTCTCGTCATATATCTGACCCACTTGACACTAGAGTAATTACTCTTCTCGAACACTTTGAGGTAGCGGACTAGCAAGCCAGAGCTAGTGAACATCAGCAGACTAAAGGAGAGCGACAACGGCGGTCTCGACCAGGCCTTTTGGTTCGTCATGGATGTCAGTGTTGCATCTGCACTGAGCACGTATTCCGCCTGACCCGTAAATCTAGGGATCCTATGTTTCTCCATGTCAGATATATTGCGGGGGTGGCGGACCCGAAAAGAAAAGACGCAGGGAGCGGAAGTGGAGGGCAGCAATATGAGGGAAGATTACTTCCAGACAATATGATTCTCGGAGGGCTCATATTTGGCTTTCCCCTGTGATGTCCTAGTTTGTATGCCGGCGGTGTTCAATGGCGTAGGTACCCTCACAACCACGTTCGTAGCGAATAGCTTTGTCCCGTAATTGGCACGGATAGCAACTTGATACTCGACTTTGGTCTTGCCAATCTCATTTACGATCGCGTGAACTCTAAAGGGAAGGTTGACATTCTCCGTAGCCCGGTACCTCATCAGCTCGAATTCGCCGTCCGGGGGAACAAACGAGATGATTCGGTCCGTGTCGAACTTGCCGAGCTTTACACATTGGTGAAATTGGCAATCCTCTAGCGTCACAGATCCCGCCGCAGCCCGAGTGGCTTTTGTGCCAGACTTATTTCCTGATGGTCGCGTGAGCCCATCCCCGTCGAGGAGAAGACGATCGTTGAGACCGAATTTACATTCGGGAGTCCCGGACAGGTAAGCGCGCATGATGATTTGGCCGGAGACATCGGCTCGTAACACGGTTCCTGTGGAATTGGTGAGTCCAAATACAGACTTCGGGAAAGCAGGCAACTCACCTCCCGCACTCATTAACAGGTTCACATCTTCTATTACATCTACAAAAGCTTCATTCTTCCTATACTTCACATCCGCTCTCCTCCATGACAACGCACCGGTAGCTTGCATAGTAATTCTAGTGGAATCCTCCTGCGGTCCGTCGCTATTAGCATCAAATGACAATTGACAATTGCAAATCTAGAGATGCTTATGCGTACGATTGCCCTCTCTGTCTTTACTCCCTCCGTTGTGATATACATCTTCAACGTGTCAGTCTCCGTATTCTGCGGGTAGCCAAAATCTAGGATCTCTGTTTCAATACTCAACCCTTAGCAATTCGTCCAAACACAGCCTTTTCCCCCGTGTCTGTTATCAAAGGTGTCCAAGCTCTTTCAGGTCCAACGTACCATCGAGAAGCTCATAAATGAGCACAAAGTTATTCTTCACAGCCTCCTCATCGAATTTGCCAAAGTAACTCCTTCCCAGCGCGATGAGCCGATACAGAAACTCGAAGACTAACGCTGCGTTGGCGTTGCTTTTTGTGACGGCAACCAAGTATATGTTCTCGTGTTTAACGTGCGAGAATGTTGTTGACCCCAAGGTTAGTATTGGTGAGCGCACCTGAGCATTAGAAATGACCTGAATCCGAAAGACATCCGATAGCCGTGGCCGACCTTATTTCACACACCTCCCCATTAGCCTCCACCCTAACTAGAGGTAATAAATTCAGATGAAAGAGCCACTCTACAGTCGTTCCGGAACTGACGAAAGATCAAGTTCTCGCCCTTTTGGTTGAACAGCAGGATCCCCGAAAGCATGATTTAACCCCTTCCCTTCTCCTTTTCTTGGTGTCCTGGTCGTTCAAGGAATTGTTTGCCAACGCTGTTGCGGGATCGGTTAAGCTGTTGGTCGAGGGTTCTTGCAAGGTACCCGTTATAGAGCCCTGTACCCAAGTCGTACTTGTGAGGGCGGTCGTAAATGGTTATCGGTTGAAGAGATGAAGACAGGGAGTAGTGGAGGTTTGAACTTGGATCAGGTGGTTGAGGAGCCGAGACATTGTGGAAGGTTGAGCCGCGACGCAACTAGGCTCCTCAAGGAAAGTTTCGCAATCAACCATCTTCTCTCTCAAACTTTGGCCATAACTGCAAATCCTAGGAACATATGATCTGCCTCAGTATTTTTACAATAGCCTTCTCCAATAACCTATGAGTACGACATCTCCTGAGCCAAGTCCTCCGTTATTGGGAGCAATACAACTACTACCTTATACAGAGTTTGTCCTACAAATTACCGCACTTGCTTAATGTTGTTTCAGATGGCTGCTCTAGCAGTTCTCTGGTTTACACCACTAGATATCCACTCTAATCGCAATGCAAACAACCGACTCCATGCACCCTGGGGCGCCGGCACAGACGAGTCCGCCCCTACACACACCCCAGGAACTGGTTGGCTATCCTCAAACAATAGATCACATCGGCCATTGCGTACCATAATATATCGACATATGAGCATCTCAAGCACCTGCGGGGTCTACACCACCTACTCGAGTGCACACACGAGCGGGGCTTTGAGGGAGATCGGTGGGGACACCCTGTAGTGCTTAAGGCTGGACAGACTTTTTGCAACTACCAATCCTACATGCATCCGGTTGGAGGTTTGGGGAGATTGCCCTATGGGTGGGGTGCTTGGAGGGGGCTTCCATTTGTTGTGATTCCTGGTATGATAGGATAGCTCTGAAAGCACCTGCCATACATTGGCGCATGGATCTTCCCTGCCTAATTCTGCATCGGCACTTGAACTGCAGTGTTCGGGCATCAGTGCCAGGAGTTGTTCCATTTTTTAATTCATTTCCGAAATTATTTTGGTGTGTGTGCCGCTCTACTCGAGTACTGGGCTACTGGGCTACCAATGCGAGATCTGAAAGTTGAGGATTTTCAAACGCTGCATAACCCATAACAGAAATATGCAACTTTATTGTTGATGCACATCCAATTGACGGAGCTCCCCAACCCACTCAATCATATAATCATGTGAAATCATTCAGTGACTTGGTAATTTGAGCATGGCTTCAATGTGATCCCGAATTTCGATAATTTATCCAGCGGCGAGAGCAAGGGATCTTAGGATGGAAGTTGCTACGATAGGCCCTCTCATAACTAGAGTGACGACCGGCTTAACTACAGTACTAAGGCTCTGCTTGGATACAGCAGTTCCGTTCTGTTGCCCCATATAAAGTTACTGTTTCCATCCCTTTGACGCCCATTTTTACAGCAGAAAGGGTCGCAAAACGAAACAGAACTGTTGGCCCCAAACAGTGCCTAAGTGAGAATCATATGGGTATTCATATGGGTGACCTCCACCGCCCGGGAGTGGCGTCTTGTTGTCAGGTTTCTCCATTCTCCCCACCGAACCAGAGTGGCTCTTCTTAACTTTGTAAGGAATTGGGGGTAGAATACTGGCCTTGTGCATCTACAAGTAGTAGAAACAACAATACGTGCTGTAGCCATTATATTAATGGAGGCGCTGTCGCCGGAAAGTTGTTCTTGGCATTTCCACTTATTTTCCTCCCTCCTAATTTACTGTGAAGCACGTAAGGGAGCTACCGAGGAAAATATGAGCCTTAAGCTTGTTGCCTTTGCGGACAAGTTACCTCAAAGGTTAAAGAATGACCCAAGACTTTTATTAAACCAATGCAAAGGACTTTTCCGAAAATCACGCAGTGCAATCAGCACCAAGACATCGAAGCTTGGCTTTCCTGACATAGGAGTCCTCGAACCTTCATGAGGAGCCAAATGCTCTCGAGCTTGAACCAAAATATCCGAGTGATATCCCATGATATTGTGCTCCTTGGGTGATGTGGATCGTCGAATCTCTACACCCTTTGATTTGTCACCTCCCGCCCCCAATTAGCTAGGGGATCTCGAAAAAAAAAAGAAGAAGAAAAAGGCGATGTTCTCTTGCTGCAAATCATACTTACTCTACAAATTGGAGCGGACTTCCCACCGAGCGGGACACAGAGACCGAACGTAGGTATCACCCAAAAGCTGCGCTCTTTAGAGACCCAGAAATAAGTGTGATAGAGCACTGGTAATAAACCAATAACATCACCTGTGTAGCTGTCTGATAGAGGTTACCGAGTAATGTTAGCGCATATTACATAGATCTGCATCCCGGAACGCAGAGCTATTGGAGCCGTGTCAAGTATTGGGGAAGCCCAACCCTTCACTTATGCAGGCTAGGTGCGTCTAGTAATGCAGTGTATATAGAAAAAATACTCTAAGGCTCCAAAACCTCTTATGAACAGGTCCAACCCAACAGTGCTTCCCAACAATCAGGCTCTGAAGTTAATATGCAGGCTCGCACAGGCACCGGAAAAAAATGATCACAATTCACCCATGCTTACCCAGGCCCTTTTCATATTCTAAGGAGGGGTGTAAAAGGTGCAATACCGGTATTCGCCTCGCACCGAAGGGCATGGGGGCATGGCATGCTCAAAAATTCACCTACAACACCTGAAATCTGATCTTCTGTTTGGTGGGCTTAGTGGTCTACCGGATATTGTAACCCGCTGGTGCATAATATTATGAGAATAATATGACATTGTTTCTTAAACTTATTTGGTTATCGTTTTGGCAACTGCAGCCTCACTCTGATGACCGGGGTGAGGTCTTAGACAACCTATCTGAGAGCAAACAAACATAAGCAGCTAAAGCCGTGGAGAACACCGCACAGCTCATCACCATACTGCTTCATCAATCGATTAGCTCTTAACGCGACGCGCCGGGTTGAAACTGTTGGGAGTTGTCCGCGTTCCGCCATCACGTGCAGCTGACTAAAGTCAAACATATCCCACTCGGGCCGGGGTTTCAACCCTAGCAAGAGAAGCGCCCCTCCATCTTCTCCTCTCCAATTTCTCTGTCCGTCAACCTCCCACCTCCCATCCACCTTTGGTTTTCTATCATCACCACCAACTCCCCCTCCTCTTCGCCTTTTTCCTATCCCTTTCAGAGGAGTATCTATTAATTTTCCTTCTTGAACCACACAGCATTCCTTACCAGCCGATAATTGTTAGCCATGTCAGAACCCATTAGAAATAAAAAACTTGACACCCTTGCGGGGGCACCGTGAGTTGACACACTCGTCATTATCCCTTCTGTTACTGACATTTAACTAACCGTTTCGAAACAAAGTACTCCCCAGAACACTCCTTCTACCAATGCCCCTATCTCTTCTCATGCCGCTGAACCCAAGGTTTCGACTATCGAAGAAGGTTTTTATACTTATTTTGACGCTCTCCTGGGATTCTTTGCTAATGATTTCCCGCTGTAATAGAGAGATTTGACCGTGCTGCGGCCGCTTCAATCTTCGCTTCGAATCCTCAACTAGTCTCTATGATACAGGGCAAGCTTGGCTCTCTTGTCGGACGCTCATCTGGTTATATTGAATCCCTCCCTGCTCCAGTCCGCCGTCGTATTTCCGGCTTGAAGGGTGTTCAAAAGGAGCACGCTAAATTGGAGGCTGAATTCCAGGAGGAGGTTTTGCAGCTAGAGAAGAAATATTTTGCAAGATACGCCCCTCTTTACCAAAAGCGTGCACAGATTGTCAATGGTGTTGCTGAGCCTACCGAGGAAGAGGTTGCTGCTGGCAAGGCGCAAGACGATGACGAGGAGGAAGAGTCGAAATTAGAGGTGAAGGCTGAAGACAAGGTTGAGGCTAAGGAGGATCTCAAGGGTGTTCCGGAGTTTTGGCTGTCGGCGATGAAAAACCATTACCCGCTTGCTGAGACTATCACCGATAGGGATGAGGCTGCGCTTAAATTCCTCACCGATATTCGCATGACCTATCTTGACCGTCCAGGGTTCAAACTTATCTTCGAGTTCGCCGAGAATGAGTTTTTCACCAATAAGGAAATCACCAAGACTTATTACTACCAAGAGGAGAGTGGTTACGGAGGCGATTTCATCTATGACCATGCTGAGGGTGACAAAATTAACTGGAAAGATGGCAAAGACCTTACTGTGAGGGTCGAATCCAAGAAACAGAGAAATAAGAGTATGGCTCCTTCTAATATACCCTTCCTTGTTTCACTAATAACGATCTTCAGACACTAAGCAGACCCGCGTTGTTAAGCGCACCGTTCCCACCGAGAGCTTCTTCAATTTCTTTAACCCTCCTAAACCTATTAGCAGTGACGACGATGAAGAGGACAACGATGAGGAGCTTGAAGAGAGACTCGAACTTGATTACCATCTCGGTGAAGATATCAAGGAAAAGCTTATCCCCCGTGCTGTTGACTGGTACACTGGCGAGGCTCTTCAATTCGAAGAACTGGAGGACGAAGTTGAGGGTGAGGACTTTGATGACGATGACGATGATGATTTGAGTGAGGACCGGGACGATGACGATGACGATGAATCTGAAGACGAGGTAATTAAGCACTTCTATCATTCTTTATATCCGCAACCATGCTTACAAAAAAAAAAGGACGATGGTACAAAGCCCAAACAGGAAGCGGCCGAGTGCAAACAGAGTTAGACGCATAGTTAATGTCTCTTTCTTCTCAAAACATGTCGGTCTCTTTCTTTCATGATCAATGCGTAAATGTGTAAGCAGTCTGGAATTTCCTTTTTCTAGTGTGCTCTACAATGAGGTTGGGGTAGACAAAAGGCGGGGAGAATGGGTTGTGGGTTAAGGTACAAATTATTAAGGTGGAAGGGCAAGTTAGCTAGTTCACTGAAATATCTTTTTTTCCTTCATAACTTCTTTTTATAAACTAGTACGGCTTCTTTAGTAGGTCTCTTATTTCTTCTTGATGTCTTCTCTATTGTGCCTGTCTCGATTTATGCCTCTATCCTGCGCTTTTTTGATCACCCTGACCAGTTTTAGTATGCTGCACTCTCCTGTTCTCAGATCCTTCTTCCCTCCATCCATACTTATGTCTCCCACATCAGTGTTTGCATCAGTGTAACTTTTCTTGCTAGTTTCTTTTTCCTCGGGGACCGATCAACGGATACAAGAGATGACTACTCCATCTCGATGGAATTCCAACGGCAGAAATTTCCTCCTGCTCCCAGTAGTTGCTGTCGTGATATGTTCTCACTGGTGGACTGGAGCGTCGACGATAGCATCAGCACTATACCGGTATTTCTGGAGACTCTGCATATACAGTAAACCTCCCACGCCATACCATCTCCGGGGAAAATACTGGCACCTTTCGACTCGCGCTCCATACCAGTACTTAATAATAATGCCCATCTATAACCGGGTATTCACCACATTCCTATCGACCGAAAACCTATCACCTATCACCTATCGCTATAACGGATTATAGCCTATACCCCCCATTCTCCTCCAATCCCATGATACTTACCGTATCACAGCAGTAGAAAATACCCGTGAAGGGAAGATATGAAAAGATGAAGGGAAGAAAAAGGTTCAATCCACTTCCCCGTTCCCTGTTTTTTTTTTTTTTTCTTTTTTCTTTTCCCTGGAACGAACATACTCTCTTAAGCTTGACCCGTTGCCCATGGGGCACCGTTTCCGGTTGAGGCATGCCGGGATGAAGCTGCTCGCCCCTTTTCCTCACATGAACTATCATACAGTACGCCACGAAGTGTATATTTTTAGGTTTTTAGGGCAAGGCGTTAGGGAAAGTGAGTGATTGTGTATGATAATACCCAACATGTTGATGGGTTCGTCCGAAGATCGACAACGGAACATTAACTTGGGAAGATCATATGTCGGTAGTTTCCGTGGGATCGTGATTTATCTTGAAAGCTTTTTTACTGGCGGCTCAATTATCCAGTAGGTTCACGGAATTGGGGCTATGAGATGGGTAGGTCAGTGGGGGAGTGGGAAAGATGAGAGAAAACTGTGTGGATAGGAAGAATGGTGGTTGAGTGCCCAATCGGTATATATCATACATGAGATGGAGGCTATCCTCACTCTCTACTCGTATACTGTGTTCGCAATCAAGCAAAAAAGGAGAAGAGATACCTAAATTGCATGAACGGCGTTGGAACTTACCTTTTTTATCTCAAATTGTATGATACTGTTCACGGCAGGTCAAATGTACGAGGTGCAGATAAGGATTACGGTGCAACCAAACTCAGTCCAACGCCCCAAAAACCTCAAAGACCGGGTAACTATGGCCCATTTAACTGAACTTGAGCAAACCTCGCTGGCACTGGCCGGGACACATGATGGTGATTTGTGAAATCAATACTAGAGGTGATCCAAAAAAAAAAAACTGGTTGGTAATCCCGGTTTCAGAGAATAGAGATGACCAGTTGCTTACCGACGAAGTGAACGCTAACACATCGGGAGGCTTACAACCCGTGCTGGTGAGTTGCGTGTTTCTGGGCTTGTAAGTTAGTAATAACTTTACCACTCCACCATGCCCACATATTGAAGCCCACTGGAGCGGTATTCGGGCGCCATTGCCCGGTCCATCGGGGTTTACATCTTTTTCGTTCCAAAAGAAGCCCCACTACTCTGTCATGCGCATGCATGGCAGCCCACAGAAGGGGTGTTAGAGCATTCTTGTCTGGCTTGTCGGGGTCGATATCTTTCCGTCCCAAAAGAAGCCTCACTACTCTGTCATGTCCACCCTTGGCAGCCCACAGAAGCAGTGTTAGGGTATATTTGTCTGGCCCGTTGGGGTCGACATCTCCCCGCTCCAAAAGCAGCCTCGCTACATTATCATGCTCACGCCCGGTAGCTCACGTAAGGGGTGTGGCCTCGGCTGTCTTTGATATCAGGCTTAATGTCTCCCCGCCGCAGTAGGACTTGCACGACTTCCTCGTGCCCATCTCTAGCTGCCAATGATATTGCGGTTTCGCCCTGTTGGTTCGTCGCGTTGCCATTGGTGTCGTCCCGTTCCAATAGCAGCTTCACTGTTCGAACATGCCCACACCTGGCAGCCCATGAAAGCGGTGTCCGGTCATTGTAGTCTATACTATTAGGGCTGACACCTTGTCGCCTCAGTAGTATGATAGCTCAACAATTTCATCGTGTCCTCCTGCAGAAGCCCATGAGAGAGGGGTTCGGCCCTTTTTGTCCCCAAGGTCGGGGTTGACATGTGAGCTTTGAACGACTTGATCCATTGTTCACAGTGCTTTGCTTTCACCCTCTACCGGCCGTTAAATGGGTCACATCTGCCAACGCAGGTATAGATTGTGCCGGGTTGGAGTCGAAGGTTTTGACTTGTCAGTCGGATGAATTTCTCAAAGCGGTTATCGTGGTGAGAAAATCCTCGATTACGTAATAAGTGAACCAGGAACCGAGCTGGAGACACAACTAAACCCAAACCCTACAGCCAGGCAACTAGTGTGCAGACTACCGTATGATGCACACCGCATTGTACTCGTATCATACGTTTGGCCTACCGTAACAAGTATGATACTATAGCATGATACCTGGGATCCCATCCATACACCAACCTGGTGTGTACAACTCCTTTGTCAGGATTACAGCATTGGAGAGATCTCAAAACTTCTGACATTTCCCGAGTGATCATCAGTGATCCACAATCCCTCAAACCCCGCTCGGTTCAGTCAAAAGACTTAGTCATGCAAACATTACGCAGCAGGAAGAAGCATAGCATACCCGCACCATAACATCATTGTTTACATACGCAGCGATGAGGTCCGACCGCCGCTTTCTTCTGACACATTATACTCGAGTGGAACATGTAATTCTTTCTTACTGTCTATCATAGCATATTCGTGGACTACCCTACACATTACTACTGTGCTACCGTATCTCCCAATGCCGTATTAGTTTTTTGCGTTTAAACACTTTCTACTATCATACATGTAGCAGTTCTCACCGCGATTCTCACCGCGACCCAATCCACCCGCACCAACCGGCTAATTGAATCATATATCATAATATATTTGTACTCGGACAGTACTGTACCTCACTCTTCACTCACCTACGGTACTGTACTAGCTCTACTGGTATTCTCTTTCGCATGGTAATAGCCCATGCGCCGGACGTTTACATTTTTAACGATTATATACGGCGTGTGTGCGGGGGCGCCTTACAAGCGGATAAACGCACGCACAAGCCAACCTCGTGTTTCTTATTTAGAGGAGAGTCAAGCAACCCGACTACGTTCCTCCGCCTGGGACGTTTTCGGCGTTCCGGGCAGAACGTGGAATGTGATGTTTCAAGTGATCGAGTGTGACTATAGCCCTTGCAGCTTGCCTTGGGGAAGCTTTCGGTGAAGACGTTCTGGAAGGGTTGGAAGGGAGGGGGGTTGCTGGAGCGTGAGTGTCCGGTGTTTCGGGGCTGGGTTGGTTGGTGTGTGGTGGGTTCGGGAGTGTTTCGGAAGATGTCGGGTTTTGGGTAGAATGTCTGGCTTGTGGGTTTATGGGGGTATCATATGTTTGGTATCAGATATGTTAGGCGGGGGTGAGAATGAGCTTTGGGGACACCGTACGAGTAGGTTGGAGATTAGGGGATGCTGCATCGACGGAATGCTATTTCTGGTCGGTAGGCCAATGCAAGCAATTATGGCGCTACATATCCAGTGCGGTGTGATGTTGCTGATAGAAGAACTAGAGTAGAAAGCATGAGAATTCCTGTTACATGGTTCAAAGGGTTTTTTTAGGCACACTACATTAACAGGTTGTGTGGCACTGGGGTGTTGGGGCCCATATGTTTATCAAAGTTTCAGACTCCACTCCTCGACCACCAGTATCGGGCACCATTAGAGCCCGTAAATTTAATTGACGCAGTTGTTCTGTTGCTCTCACCACATAGCAAGACCGTTTCAGTTCATGTTATACTTGCACTTTACCGCATCACCAAGTGTCTGATAACATGAATTTCAATGCTACTTTTGTACTGGATTCCCGTTGCCTTGAACTTTGTTAAGTTATCTATCTCCACGTTTTAGGCCTGGGACTAGGGTGGTTGGGTGTTGTACCGAGGCGGGAAGCCGTGTAATACCAACTGTACAAGTACTCTATTTCCCGGTTGCGGCCACGAAACCGGTAAGGGGGCTCGAAAAGTGGTGATGGTCGACCCAGCAGGTTTGAGCTCGGATCAAAGCGCTCTGGCGAAACAAGAGGGCACTGACGCTTCAGGAACCACTTGTACAGGTACATTATTTTAGTTAACACCAGGAGAGGTTACAGTACTCGACTGCAGCATCGAGGAGGTCGGGCATGACCTACCCACGGCACTAGCCTTGGTACAAGTATTATTCAAGAACACCGTGGAGAAGAACCTTCGTTGTGGGGTGGGTGATATTATGAAAGATGCTTAGAGTTACGTATCGTTCAATTGAGGTGAGCGGAATGGACTTGGAGAGGAGGGCGGAATTGTGGGGTAAGATGTCATTACGATGATCAAGGAGAAACTGAGGATGATCCCTGGGGAAGTTTTGAATTGTCAATAGCAGATACTGTTATATTACCGTAAAGAATATCAATGAACAGAAGGGTATTTGAAAAATTTCCCGTTCCATAGAATTTGGAAGGCATCTCTTGATTTGGGCAAGGAAGAAAAGGCTGCAGTGCCGGTAGTTGTAGTTGTGCGAGTGGGTATGCCCATATCGGTACCGTACCTTACAAGTGTGTATGATCTACGCCTACGGAGGGCGCGGGGGAGTTTTCCAGCTGAAACAGCGGATTTTGTACGAGTATGTGGGTTGGGGGGCTGAACTCCTGGGCACCAAGCTTGTCGCGGGGCTGTTGTGGTGAGGAGCATCATCAGCAACACCAGATGGAGAAAAAGTGAGAAAGAGGAAGGAAGTCTCATACACTGTAGGTAGGAATATGATAGAAAGGCGTTTTTATGGAGGCAAGATAGTGAGATGGAGTATCATAGAAGGACACAAGTAAAGTAGAAAGTGCCCCAGGTTTGGCCGCCTCGCCCTGCCCCTTTTCGCCCGCTCTTTTGATTCGCCGTGCACTCCACCCACCACCACGGCTTCGCTGACAAGCCCAACTGAGGGACCCTGCCCAAATTATTTCTCAACCACTGAGAGTCTCCTAAACACCATCGGCTCAACAAACACCTTCCCCTCTCTCCTCCACTTCTGTCCTTCATTATTATTATCCTACTTCTCCATCTCCTAAACGTAACCCTCAACCTCTTTGTTTTTTTTTAGACCCCGTTTGGAAAGAAGCGAGATTCGTGCTGTGGTCTTCCCTGAACAGCCTGGGACAGCAACAGCTGCCGTCTTAGAGTTATGGCGCACACTTACAATCTCGACACCGGTGCCTGGATTCAGGATACCCATGAGGGATGGGTTTCTTCGAAGGTTGTTTCCAAGAATGTAGGGGGAGATAAAGCAACTCTAGTTTTTGAGATTACTTCAGGAGACCGAATCGGTGAGGTATGGTTATCTGTACCCGCTCTCCAGCTGGGGCACTCTTGATTCTAGTTTCCATTGTAACCTTTTTCGCAGAAAATCACCACTACTTCAACACTTGCGGCTCTTGAAGGAAATGCTGAGGATAAGCACCTTCCGCCTTTAATGAATCCACCTGTTTTGGAGGCTTCCGATGATCTGACCAGTTTATCCCATTTGAATGAACCGGCTGGTATGTGATAATTCATCAGACTTCCTATCTCGGTGAAGCGTTCTTTGTTGCTTCCTTGGCTAACATTCCCGTCCTGTGTAGTTCTGCAAGCTATTAAACTCAGATATGCTAAACGGGAGATTTATACATACTCCGGAATTGTTCTCATTGCGACAAATCCTTTTGATCGGATGGACTACCTCTATGACCCTGGACTTATTCAAGCCTATGCTGGTAAACGACGTGGGGATCAAGATCCGCATTTGTTTGCGATTGCTGATACTGCCTACCAGTAAAACCCCATAACATCTCTCTCTGACCGGGGTGTTTGGAATTGACGAAACTACTCATAGGGCAATGGTTCGAGATAAAAAGAATCAAACAATTGTGGTATCCGGAGAATCTGGCGCCGGAAAAACGGTCAGTGCCAAATATATTATGAGATATTTTGCAACGGTAGAGGATCCCAATAGACCCGGCAAACGGAAGAAGGGGGCTACGGGGGAAGTCATGAGCAAAACAGAGGAGCAAATATTGGCAACCAATCCTATCATGGAGGCGTTCGGCAATGCTAAGACCACTCGAAATGATAATTCTTCTCGTTTTGGAAAGTACATCGAGATCATGTTCAACAAAGAAATCGATATTGTGGGCGCGAAAATCAGAACATATTTGTTGGAGCGTTCAAGATTGGTGTATCAACCCGCTACCGAGCGAAATTACCATATCTTCTATCAGTTGATTGCTGGAGCATCTGATGAGGAGAAGAAGGAACTGGGATTGCTTCCGGTGGACTACTATGATTACTTGAATCAAGGAGGAGACCCTATTATCCCCAATGTCGACGATGCTGCCGAATTCAAATTAACTCGGGAGGCTCTTGGAACTATTGGCGTTTCGGAAGTGACTATGGCTAGAATTTGGAAGGTTTTGGCAGCTTTGCTTCATTTGGGTAACACTAAGATTGAAGCATCTCGGAATTCGTCTGTACTTCTAACAACAGATCCCGCTTTGGTTAAGGCTTGCGAGCTTTTGGGTGTTAATGCTGAGGAGTTTGCTAAGTGGACAACAAAGAAGCAATTGGTCATGCGAAATGAGAAGACAATTTCTCCCCTTAGTCAGAAGCAAGCTCTTGTTGTTCGTGACTCGATATCGAAATTTATCTATTCGAGTTTATTCGATTGGCTTGTTGAGGTTATCAATAACGGCTTGGCTGCCGAAGGGGTTAGGGAGAAAGTGAAATCTTTTATCGGTGTTTTGGATATCTACGGTTTTGAGCATTTCAAGCGTAACTCTTTCGAGCAATTTTGCATCAATTACGCAAATGAAAAGCTCCAGCAAGAGTTTAATCAGCATGTTTTCAAACTAGAGCAAGAGGAGTATGCGAGGGAACAAATTAATTGGGCGTACATTGAGTTCTCCGACAATAGACCTTGCATCGAGCTTATTGAAGCGAAGTTGGGTATCCTGTCTCTTCTAGACGAGGAATCTCGTCTCCCCGCTGGAGCAGACGAAACCTTTGTTGAAAAACTTCACCAGAACTTCGCGGCTGGTAGACCAAAGGGTTTCCCTTATCAGAAACCGAGATTCGGGAAAACGTCTTTTACTGTTTGCCATTATGCTGTTGATGTCACATACGACTCCGATGGATTTATTGAAAAGAATAGGGATACTGTGCCAGATGAGCACCTTGAGTTGTTGAAGGCATCAACCAACCCGTTCCTTACTGAAGTTATTCAATCTGCTACATCACTTAGAGACAAGGTAAGTTGCTATTTTTCAATTATAGAAGCTGGGCTAATAGTGTAGGAGAATGCTCCTGTGCCCAAAACGACTCCTGGCCCAGCTGCTAGAAGGGCGGGGGGTATGGCCAACCGTAAGCCAACATTGGGAGGAATCTTCAAGTCATCTCTCATTGATCTTATGGGCACAATCGGATCGACAAACGTGCACTACATCCGTTGCATCAAGCCGAATGAAGCAAAGGTAGCTTGGAAGTTTGAAGGTCCAATGGTCTTGAGTCAATTGCAGGCCTGTGGTGTTTTGGAGACCGTGAAGATTAGTTGTGCTGGGTATCCTACTAGGTGGACTTATGAGGAGTTTGCCAGTCGTTACTATATGTTGGTTCATTCTAGCAATTGGAAGGTTGGAAGTATTAGGGACGTTGGGCTCTTGATTCTTAAGGCCACTATCCCAGAAGAGGGGCATCCCCGCGACGGACAAAAAGATGGGAAGGATAAATTCCAACTTGGAATGTCGAAGATTTTCTTCAGAGCTGGCATGGCATGTATTCCTACAGCTGTTCGCTGTTCACTGTTTTTTTTGTGTGTGTTCTAACGGATCCTTTAGTTGGCCTATCTTGAAAACCTGCGGACAACTCGCCTGAACAAATGCGCGATATTGATCCAGAAGAATTTGAAAAAGAAATATTATCGACGCAAGTACCTTGAGGCCCGTGAATCGATACTCAAGCTCCAGGCATGGGCTAGAGGGTGCCTTGCTCGCAAAGAGGCCCAAGCTATGCGTGTAGTTAAGGCTGCTGTTACTATCCAGAGGGTCTGGCGTGGTTCTAAAGAGCGCAAGGCGTTCAATAGAATTCGTAACAGTGTTATTCTTGCTCAAGCAGGTAAATTGGCTAATTCTGGGTAACCATTGACATCTGCTGATATGGTTATAAAATAGCTGCTAAGGGTTACCTATGCCGAAAGTCTATCACTGATCGTATGCTCGGAAATGCCGCACGATATATCCAGAAGGCTTGGAGGTCAAGGTGAGAAAATTCCGTAGCCCCATCCTAGGAGGGGAGTCAAGGCTTATGGTGCGTGTGTAGGCGCTTCTTACAAGCTTGGAGGACATATCGCAAGAGGTGTGTCTATATACAGAGTGTTTGGCGTGGTAAGATAGCTCGAAGGCAATACCGAAAAATGCGCGAGGAAGCCAGGGATCTCAAACAAATCTCTTATAAGCTTGAGAACAAGGTTGTCGAGCTTACTCAAACGGTAGGGAAGCTTAAGCAGGACAACAAGGCTCTCCTAGAAAAGGTGGAAAGCTTCGACAATCAAGTGAGGAACTGGAGAACTAAGCACGCTACTTTGGAAAACCGTAACAAGGAACTGCAAATCGAAGCCAACCAAGCCGGTATTGCATCTGCTCGTCTCTCGCAGATGGACGAGGAGATGAAGTCACTTCAGCGGCAATTTGAGGAGTCAACGGCAAACATGAAGCGGCTCCAAGAGGAAGGGAAGTCTCTACGCGCCGCTCTTTCTAAGAGAACATCGGAGCTTGATATTCTCAAGTCGCGTGACCAAGTGCATGAGGATGAAAAGATGTCTTTGAGGCAACAGATCCAGGCTTTAGAAGATCAACTACAAAATGCTGGGCCACCCGTGGAAGAGAATGGACATGTGGAGAAAGTGCCGGCTGGTCTTGCCAATGGTATCATAAATTTCGTCTCTAATAAGAAACCTAAGAGGCGAAGCGCTGAGGTTAACCGATTCGAAAACGATGGGATGTACCGGTCTTCTTACCAAGCTCGCCCTGTCTCTATGATGCCTACAACGGCCCCTATTAGGAATAGGGATCTGGACGCGCTCACTTTCAGTCCTGTGGTAGACAATACGGAATACGAGCTGCAAAGGTTGCTTGAAGAAGACGAGGCATTGAGTGAAGAGGTGGCTATGGGTCTTATTCGGAATCTTAAGATTCCATCACCTAGTAGTCAGAATACGTTAGTTGAGAAGGAGGTTTTATTCCCAGCGTATCTCATCAACGTTGTTACTTCCGAAATGTGGAACAACGGATTTGTGAAGGAGTCCGAACGATTCTTAGCCAACGTCATGCAGTCTATTCAACATGAAGTTATGGTTAGTAATTCAGGGCTACTCGTTGAATCGGATAACATTTAGCTAATATCTACCAGGCACACAATGGCGATGATGCCGTTAATCAAGGTGCATTCTGGTTGTCCAATGTCCATGAGATGCTCTCTTTTGTCTTCCTCGCCGAGGACTGGTATGAGATGCAAAAGAAGGACGACTACGAGTATGATCGTCTATTGGAAATTGTCAAGCATGATTTGGAGAGTCTCGAATTTAACATTTACCACACTTGGATGAAAGTCTTAAAGAGGAAGCTGCATAAAATGATTGTTCCAGCAATCATCGAATCGCAATCCCTTCCCGGTTTCATCACAAATGACGGTAATAGGTTCCTGAACAAGTTCCTTACGACTTCGAGTGCCCCCCAATATAGCATGGATGATCTCTTGACCCTGCTGAATAAGGTTTACAAGGCCCTACGGGGATATTTCATTGAAGAGTCAATTATTACGCAAGCAGTCACTGAGCTGTTGAAACTTGTTGGCGTTACCGCGTTTAACGATCTTCTTCTAAGGAGAAACTTCTTGTCGTGGAAGCGTGGGCTCCAGATCAATTATAACATCACTCGTATTGAAGAATGGTGTAAGAGTCATGACATGCCCGAGGGTACGCTTCAACTAGAACACTTGATGGTATGTAATTTATTTTCTTATCATGAATACTATTACTAATGTCTTTTTAGCAAGCTACAAAGTTACTTCAACTCAAGAAAGCGACTCTCAATGATATTGAGATTATTCAAGATATCTGTTGGATGTAAGTCGGTTATCATCCTACAACGCCCAGGAGCACCTGCTGACAACTGTAGGCTTTCACCAAACCAAATACAGAAGTTACTGAACCAGTACCTGGTAGCTGATTACGAGCAGCCGATCAATGGAGAGATTATGAAAGCCGTTGCATCCAGGGTCACCGAGAAGAGTGACACACTCCTACTTCAGGCAGTGGATATGGACGACAGCGGGCCATATGAGATCGCTGAGCCACGAGCTATCACCGCACTAGAAACCTACATCCCTTCATGTGAGTCACATGAACTCAACTGAGCTTGAATTCTGGGGACTAATGTTTTCTATTAGACCTACAAACTACTAGGCTAAGGCGACTAGCAGAAATTGTTTCTGCCCAGGCCCAGGCACGCGTTGAAGCAGAGCGAGTGCGAGAGGGGGTAGACGATTCGGATGGGGATACCAAGACTCCAATTCCCACCGAACTTGAGCCAGTGCATGAATAATGACTTTGGGTAAGTCGGTCTGCACTCTTCGTATCCTTGTCCATCGCTAACGGGATGTGGTGCAGACTATTTCTTTTGTAATGAGTGATGTCTTTTATGAAAGAGTCGCTAGCGGGTCTAAGAAAGACAAACATACTTTTTTACCCGAAAAAAAAACACTCTTTATTTCCAGCCGCGTGCTCTTTTTCGTTCGTTTCGTCATATCTGGAAACAAGTTTGACGTTTGAGAGGTATCTACTTTTAGTTCAGTGCGTTGGGTCAAGAATGGAGACAGGGAAGTTTACAAGAAAAAGGTTTGTTGCAATACTACTTGCGCTTTAGAGAACGTTACAATTTTCGCCTTTTCTTTTCCTACCATCATCTTCTTTTCTAGCTAGTGAAAGCTTTGTAGTGGCCCCTATGGTCACATATTTTAGTTTATCCCCCCCCCTTTTGACTTCCCATCTTAAGTTATATATCCTTTTGTTATTTCATTTTTCATATATCTCATTTGCGATAGAAAAGCCGGTCAAGTGTTTGTAAATGTATGTGGATGCTTTCCTTTTCCTTTTCCTTTTTTTATTTATTTATTTTATTTAGCCAGGCGGTATAATCGTCGAATCAGGGAGAATCTGATTATACAAGATATTATATTATTACTACTTTACAAGTAGGACCACCGAATAACAGTGCAAAGGGGTCTCCCAATCTAAGGCCCCATTTACCAGGTTAGATGGAGTATGAGGTCCAGGATACCGATACATTGCACCTCCACTTCCACCTCACCTTCTCCACCATCACATGTGGCCGAGTGATAGCTCAACCACCCCTCCCCTAGCACACCAGCAAGGGGAATAAGATCCAGGCTTCTCCAAACCTTTCCTATCCCACAATATCAGGATGAAAAGGGATTCCTCTCCGACCGACCCGCTTGCCCACCCAAATCAACCCAACCGACCGACCGACACATCCCCCCCCATCCGACGCATAGATAACCCCGGCAGCCCAAGTATTATCCACCGCCGCCGGTGCGAAAGGCACGACATATGATACCCGGTTTTATTGGGAACAGGTGGTAGTCGGAAGGGGAGACCTTTCCCGATTTTCGCTTCATCCCCTCCCTACCGGCCTGGCTCGATAGAAAAAAGAAAAAAAAAGAAAAATGCAACCCAGTTGGTATAATAATAATAATATGGGATTAACCGCACTTTCTTGCTTGCTCACTTACTCGATGCGCCCATAAAGGGAAGGGGGGAGTCGTACCGATTTATTCCAGGGAAGGAAGAATGGAGAATTGCTTGTGATATATATATTATAGAGTAAATGCCTTAACTAGTACAGTACGTGGTTGGAAGGCGGTAAGGTATCATAAGTTGAGGGGAAAAATAATAATCGATGGCATGGGATCGATTGCCATGTGATGGAGAAAAGGTAAAGAGAGAGAGAAAGAAAAAAAGTGTACGATAAAAGAGTTCCGAGTTTGTAAAGGCGAACATGGGATATCCAATGCGAAAGGAGAATAGTTCTCTTTTAATATTGAATAATTCCCAATAATCTATCAATCATGGGAAATGAATAGATTTCAATCATTGGAGAGGTATGATACGATAGAAGAAGAGTATACAAGTATCATAACTGATCTAGGCATACCATACCCTTTTTTTCTTTTCCCATAAATTTAGGTCTTTTTCCACGTAGGAGGAAGAGAAAGGGTTGCGCTTTATCATACCTAGACGGTTCCGATTCGTATGTAAGTATGATAAGGTTTAGGCCATTCATGATATGATACCTCGCGAGTATGATTCCATGATCCACCAATCCTCAGATCCACGGCCGAGCCCTCCCCCCTTCCCATGACTACCGTGTGAAGTATGATAGAACCTACCTATCATCATAATATCATACCGAATATAAGAGAAATGTGCTAAGACGTCGTAATTAGCTCTCTTTCCCCGTCCTAGTTGAGGGTTGAGTTTGCAGTGATTTTCCTACCCCTATCCAGACAGGGGAAATTTCAACGATATAGCACATTTCTCTTGTATTCGAGTGCTTACGGTAGCGTATCATAGTACCGAATATCGGCAGTGATTGAAAAAAATAATAATATAATATATTCAAACAGCAACAAAACAGGAAAAAAGGAGAGGAAAAAGCGGATACCCAATATCATACCATCACGATCTCAATAATTAACCCCCCTTTACCCCTCCAAAACATCTCTCCCCACCCATCTACTGCAACTGCACCCGCCTCTCCCGACTGTGCAACCACGCCTGTCCAGAACAAAACACCAAAAACCCAGCATAAACCATGACAGCTCCAAACAGGATTCCGGCAACTTTCTCCCCGTCCTCCGGATCCCCGGTTGATCCGACCATTGTTTCGTGCCTAAAACCAACCGGCCGGCGGGTCCCTCGTCAGTCCTTTTTCCCACACACCCCTTGGGCGAGAAGCACATACCCGGATCTAAAGAGCGCGCCGAGAACACTTAATATGACGATCCCGAGGGCGGAGGTTACGATGCTGGATGCGTGTTAGCTTTCGATGAGGGGGGAGTAGGGAATGGGGAGGTTACCATGACCAGACGTTGAAGCTGTGATGGTTTGGTTAGTTAAATGGTTGGGGATTTTGGAACGAATGGGCACGAGGTGGAAAGGAGAGGGAATGACGTACAGGGAGAACATTGGCTTCATGGTTGTAGGGTCTTGGGGGTGGCGAGTGGTGGAATGTTGGGTTGTTGGTATTCGCTCCCCAGTATCGGTACCGCTGGTTCGAGATTGCTGAAGGGGGGAGCTTTGGCAGAACTTGAGAATAATGGTGCTGTGCTGTGTCGTAGCGTTTGTCGATCTCGACGACAGATGGATGTGTCCCCGGGGGTTCGCCTCCCGCTGCCAAGACTCTTGGCTGGCTTTCCTGGCTGTGGAACGTGGGCTTTGGCGAGTGATGGGTTGTGATATGCTTTCGGGATGGCAGGAGACCCGGAGTGTCTCTTACGCTCACTATAGTAGACTACCGAGATACAGAGTTGATGACATCGTGACGATGGAGGGTCATTTCATTTTTATTTATCAAGTTAAGGTAACGACTGCGCTAGTCTAAGCAAATAATAAATTGAGTAAACAACCCGTCAACCCACCTCGCTCTCATCCTACTAACCAAACGAGTCCCGGCGAACCCCATTTGATTTTTCTTGTCCGATTCCATGTCAAGTATCATAGCCTACCAAACCCAAAGAAAGAGAGAAAGAGGGGAAAAAAAGAGTTACCGCACTAAAAGACCTAAGGAACGAAAAACTACCCAAACAGAGAACCAGTAAAGTTTGCTACCCATACGCGTGCTATCAATAGAAAAAGAACCCTGTACAGTTGATTTTTTGTTTCCCTATCCGGGCTAAACCCCGCACTACCATTTCGTGTCCCATCTCCCACAACCATAAAGCTAATTCTATGAAACCTCACAGCGGTATAGCGAAAACAACAAAGGAAAATATATTGACGGGGCAGTAAGAAAATCAATTTTCGTAAGCCGCAGCCAATTGTGACTTCTTGGCTGGGGGTGGTGGTGGAGGTGGCTTCTTCAATCCTCGGGATACGGGGGGTGGGGGGGGTTGCTTCCTCCCACTACCGGCGGCGTTGTACGCACTAGAAAGGGCATTATTGCTAGATGTCCTTGATGGGACCCGGCTAGCCGAAGGGGTAGCGGACCTCGCAGGAGATACAGAACGCTCCTCGTAGCGGTATCTCTCCCTATCAGGGGAGTTACGAGCAGAAGTATGGCTGTTATTGTCCGAAAAAACATCAGTGTTCACCGATCTCAGAGTGCGAGTAGCAGGCAACGGAGGCGGTCCTCCTTGATCCGACCTCCTCCGTCCCATACTTTCGCTCTCATATTGACCGATGCGTCCCGGCGTAGGCAAGGTATTAGTACGGTGAAACGCAGGCTTTGTAGATAGCCTGTCGTTATGATCCGGAGTAGGCAATCGGAACAGACCACTTCTATCATTAGATTCTGGAGAGCCTCCAGTGTTATTAACACGGGAGCGAATAGAAGGTCTCTCAACCTGCGGAAGTGGGGGCGGCGACTCCTCTCGGATTCCGCTACCGTTACCGAACGAATGAGCCGGATTGGAGCGAGAACGAAGGCGCTTCTTGTCCTTTGCTGTAAGTCTACATAGAGGTTTGTTAGCCTAATAGCTTTGATGCCGGACATTTGGTATCTTACCCAGCTGGCCAATTTTGCCTAATACCCACAAGAATGTCTCGGCAGCGATCATGATACTCCAACTCGGCATCAAGGAACGCGGTCAAATCCGCCATAGTTTCAGTCTCAGATTCCTGAATGTCACCCATTCTGCGATACACATCTTCACTGGATTCCTCATATTTGATGCGCTGCGCCCGCAGCTCTTCTTCCACACGGAAATCCTCCTTCTTCTGTTTTTGCATCTTCGAAAGCGTTGCGTCATAGGCGAGTCTTCGAGATTCAAGCTTCTTACGAGCAACCTATAATTACGGAATTAACGAACTGACCTTTGAAGGTTTCCCGATATGCAGCCCTAATCACCTGGTATTCCTTCATCTGGGTGAGGAATCTCTCAAGAGACTCGAGCCAGCTCTCGCTAGCCGCAGCGACATAAGAATCCTGAACCCTAGCAATTTTCTCGTTGGCCTGACCCATCTCTAACCCCAGAGTTAGCATCCATGGAACAGTTGATAGCATCGCGAAGAGTATCATAAAACAAAGCAGGCATACTTATGAGACAGTTTCCGAAAACGCTATCCGATTCAAATTCCTCGCCATGGGAGATCATCGCTTGAGCCATTACGTCCACAGGGAGCATTTTCTCCCTATCCTCTCCCATAGATTTCTGAGAGACCGATTTGACGTAGACATTCATGGTATTGTGAAGCTTTTCCGCACCTAAAAATAACCATACGTCAGTTGTTGACCAAGAGCCCACCCCCCCCCCCCAAAGCTCCAAGGAACATGTCATTCTTACCCTCGTGCCTCAATTTCATCTCCACTTCCAAGTTCTGAAACTCATCGGATGCTCCAGTCTTGACTTCTCCCCCCATACGTTCTCCCGCCCATTGCTTGAGCCTGTCGAGCTTCTATGGGGGGGGCCGAAAAATTAGCGATCCGAAACTTTTGGGGGTCAAGATATAAAGAAAGAAAGAAGAATACCTTGTTCATCATCTTGAAAGACGGCTACCGAGCTTGGATTGGTATTGCGTCGCTGATTTATGGTTGAGCAAACCGAGGACGGTGGGGGAAACGGAGGGAACGGCCAGTGAAGTGATGCGATTAATGGGTGAATAAGCAACCCTAGAGAGCTTTGAGAGAATCTGGGGACGGCAGGTAGCGGGAAACAGGGTTGGGGACGAGTAAGTACAGTAACACCAAGGACGACTACGACCAGGTTGGTGAGGGGAATGATGAATTGGGGATAAAAATTAAAATTAAAAGATAAAGAGCAGCCAGCGCAATTTACACCAAATGTTTGTTGTTCTTATTCTTTTTTAACGAGAGGAGAGAAAAGAGAAGGGCATGAAAGAAGGGCACAAGAAGGTGGTCAGTGGGGATGGTTTATGGATTGTTAAGGTGGGCGGTGGATAGAGGGGGGAAGAATGAAGACAGAGAGGGAGGGAAGGTGATTTTGAGGCGGGGACCACGTTGCTATGCTCGCTAGAGCGACTTTATTTTTTTTCTTCGAAGGGATCGGCTTGGGCCCGGGCATAGGTTCGAGGGTGTGAGGATCCAGGAGAAAGGAGGACCTTCCCGGTTGTGGACTTTTATGCCATGTATCATATAATTGGAAGAGGACAAAGGAGACACGCGCGCAACATAGCAACACTACCATGCCCCCATATTTGAATTCACGGACCAGTCGAGAGCTACCCTTCCCTTGAGCAATCCTCACTCGTAACCATATAAAGTATCAAGAATGTCATCTCACTGATCCCAAACACAATAGTTACGATAGACTACCGTACCATGCTGCATACCGACGCCGATAACTCGAGTGCAATCCATCTGTTCATACGTGCATAGAAAAGAAAAGAAATAAGGTAGTTTTTAGTTTTTCTGGGAAAATGTGATTTTGCGGACACCGAGGCCAAACTGAGACGTTCTCCTCCACATCCCCCGCCTTATCCATGCCGATCCAGGCCGGTGGCCACACACTCACTCTCCCCCATCCATCATTTTTCCTATCTCTTGTAAGATTCCCTGATTCCCTTTTTTCCCCATTCTCCGTCTTTGCCCCCCCCTCGGAGCCCTCTCCATCTCTTACCCCTGCCTCTGGTTCTGCCCCTCTTCCACGGTAACCCAGCTCAGCGGTTTCTATTTCCCAGTTTCCAGCCTTTCATCGAGTTAACCGCCTTTAATTAGACGCACCCTATTTCAGTTGAAATTGTTACAGGTCCCGGAACGAGACACCTGTTCATTAGTTGACAGTTGATCTCCAAACACCCCAGACAAAATCTTGGCTAAGAATAAGTAAGACTGGTCTTAAAACTGTTTTAGCTCTTGAATAGCACCAACCAACCAACGGGCGGCGATCCTCACCGAATGCCCTGCCATACTCAACACCGCCGGAGACCCAAGCGTCGAACCCTGCCGGTTGATTCAAACAATAAAAGATACGGGACCGTAGCCACAGGCGAGTGGAGAAGTTTCAAAACATTATTAGTCTGCAGATGAAATGGAACTCAAAATATCTTTCACAAAATCTACTCTTTCTTCGGCGCTTGGTGTGAAAGGCGCTTATATTCGAGTAGACACCACCGATACAATCCAAAAATTCACTCCACGAATTCAAGTCGCTCCCTCGCCACTTCCCATGGTAACTGCCACAGCCAGTAACCCTAATCTCGGTACACCCTCCTCAGCAATTCGCGTACGAGAGTACAGCGCGAAATGATAAAAAAACATCAAGAAAAAACAATGCGCCACGCCGCACACAATTCCTCGGTCACCGGCGCGCCATCCACGGTGAACCGGAGCCATATGGTAAGAATGGGGGGATGATCCCTACACATTACCGGGCCACAAGCCAATCGGAGGAGGAGAGGGCTCCGGAGCGTCTACAGCCTTCAAAGAGGGCACGAGGGAACCGGCGGGTGATGAATACCGTAGGGGTGCCGTGTTTGACAGGCAACGAAGTGGAATCGTCGGAGTAGGGTAGCGAAACAATGCCTGTTACCGATCCCCCGCTGAAGACTGTAATGGTTGTTGCACTTTTCCTTGTACTCGTACAAGTACCTTATCCCGATCCTGGTGCTGCCAAGCCACGTTAAGTTTTCCGCGACCCGCGAATGAAGAACACAAGCAAGTTGGGAACCCAAGGGTCAGGGAAATTCTTTGTCTTGGCGAGTTTTTCTGGCACGTTATCTGTGCTTCAGCAGTGAGTTGACACATCGTAGAGTCGGCCACGTCACAAAGGTCGCTAAAAACATGTTGGAGTCTCTTTTGTGGCCCGGGCGTGATGGCCGTGGATTTCGAGGGCCGATATCAAATTTGATATGCGGAACTTGAAGGGATCAATAAGTAAATACCTTACATATCGAGTGACGTGTCATGATCTGTCGTCGGATTTGCGTATAAATGGCATGGAGAATCCCAAACATCTGTCTGTGATGGTGATGCCAGGCCCGGAGGAGGCATAGGCGTACCGCTGCATCTAGAAACATCTGTGGAACTTTTGCTCTCAATTGCAGAAGCCGGCCGAGGGATTTCCGCGCTGAGAAACGCTCTAGAAATATTTAGCGCAGTACCTTCTGCCAAACCAATTGACCGAAGTTCGAGAACGGAGCATCTAAACATGTCTTGACCCCCCCTCCCGGTGGGCTTCCATGGCGTATTTTGGCGTGGCTGGGGTCAGTAGCAGTCACCGAGAACACCACCAGATCCCTGCACGGACTTGAAACGAGAAGGAAGAGCCAAACAACAATGGGGAAAACAAATCTCGCCCGTGGACTTTCCTGCTATCGAACCTGAAAAGTGCGAGAATTGCTTCCTTTATGCAACCCCGCCAGCGCGCAAGTGGGGGGTGGTCAAATACAATTTCAATACCGGTTCTCCGACTGCGATGCTCGCATATCTAGGAAGCATCACGGAGTATCTTGCTGATTCCACATGCCTCAAGTTGTCAATCACGGTATGTTTGCGTGCCTGGTATGTAATAGATATAGGATGGTTTTGTAAAGTTGCTGGGTAGCTTTATATAACCTTCTGACAGGAGTCGTGTGGTGTAAACGATATTCGGAGATAAGGATGGAAAGAGAGAAGGAGAAGAGAAGAGAACTTGAAGGTGAATAAGAGGTTAAGTAAGATCAATTGCCATCTCGGAAAGCAAAACTAAACCGGTGAGAGGACGAAGTAGAGCCCCCCGCAGCTCTCCAACTAAGCAAATAAAACATTCGCGGATGAAAACCCCCCTTATGATACAAATTTTAATCTTAATAACGCTAGCATAAGCACATAGGCAAGCGGGCGCACCGCATGCGCCCCCTCACAGATGCAAACTACCACACCTTTAATCCTCACCTGCCCTTGGTATCATGCATCTTCTAACATCTCCCTTGCTTAAAACAAAAATTTAATAACCCCCAGCGCCAGAGCTTTACCGTACCTCGTATGAGTACTAGTACGAGTACCGTACTGTAATATATCTGGCCATATCAGTAGTTGCCCAATTACCGCAATCGCTTGTCCGGGTAGAGCATTCCGCCTCCCACTCCATCCACCAGAGACCCGACGAGGAAAAGATATACCGGTATACAATACCTCGCAGAGGACGTTTTGACACTCGCACCGTAACCCATATTTCCCAGAGCCAGGGTCCAGAAAAACACCCTTACATCCCGAAAACACAAGACTCCTTCTCGGGAGCGATGCAATACAGCAGTCAGCCCGGCAATACGGTATTCGAGTACTCGAGTACCGTACGGTAACGACAACCCTCTCACCCCCACCCCTGGCCAAGCATCAAGCCCAAGGAACGCCCAAGCCGATCAGACCAATATCCCGGGAACAAAGCCGATTCGTAGGAAGGACCTATGTGTTACAAGTACAGTACTCTACAGGTACAGCGGCAGGGCAGAGGGGATGCGGTGCCACCTACCAATCAACCGACTGGGTATCACAGGCGAGTATGGCTGGGCATCTATCACGTACCCGAAAGCGAGAACGAAAAAGGAGGGGTACCGGTATACGATTGGAGAGGGCTACATCATCATAACTAAATTCTTAATGTGCAGGGTACGTAACTTGTTTGCATGCCAGCTCATATTGGGTGTGCGCGGGCAATTTCTCTCGACGGAGGGCATTCGGGGTTGTCGATGGTTGTGCCCGGTACGAGCACTGCCATTGTTTGGTTCGGATCGGTCAAGGATGGGTCACTGGAGTTCCCCCTGACTTCGAGAGCGCGCGAGCTCGGGTTCATCTCGTCGCGTCGCCATGCTCTGATATCGCCATATCTGGAAGAATAGATCTCCTTGATTCCGCCCTAGAGTCCTCGTGAATGGTCATAAAGGGTCGGAAAAAAGGATCAGCAAGATCCTACTCGAGTGGCTCGAGTATGGGGTAGACTACCGGCGATGAGAAGTTGGTCAGTACTATAGACCAGTCCTGAGTAGTCTAAGCAGCAATGCAACTGGTCCGGGGTTCTGACTTTGTTTGCTCTCACGGTGTTTATCGATCGATCAACATAATCCCTGCTTTTCCACCACAAAAATTTCCGCCCTCTATGACTACCGTATGCCAGAGTATCGCACCGTACGTGCTCGCTACAACTCAATTAAAAAAAAAAAAAAGACCAAAACGCTTCCCCAGTGTCCTATCCCCTAATCTGTGTGCGGATTCCGCAGCTTTTTAGCAGGGTTAATAACTTGGGTTATTCTCGGATCCCCACCAAGGGCGGTATGGTCGGTGAGCCCTTGCTGATGCCAACCAACAGAAAGCATCTACTTGTACTCGTGCTGCACAGTGCTGTGGAAGACCTCTTGTGTAAGGTGGTGAGGGGGGCGTTGTTCTTCTCAGGATACAGTACAAACCACCGGGCTTAAATCCATGCCTCTCATATGTTGAGGCAGCGCCCTCTGGTCGTAATTGACTACGTAGCCGTTCATGAGTCAGACAGTTCAGTACTAGCACACGGTTGCTAGACTCGAACTATTCCTAATCCCGGAATAATCTAGGGAGCCAGAAAACGACAAATGCAGATGAAGGGATACTATTTTCCCAATATTCTATTCAGTTGTATTGTGTGGTTATGAAATGATAGCGACGATAACAAAAAACAGCTAGCTAGTACTGTACCCGAAACCGCCATTCCCTGGGACAATAGTAACCCCTGCGAGCCCACCACTGTATAGATCAAGTAGGAAGGGAACTATCCGAACACGGACTCCACAAGAGCGCATATCAACGGGAGCGAGTGATCTTTAATGACGGGCGGAAACGGCTCTGGCGGCCATGCCCTTCCTTTCAGAGTCATCAGGATTCGTTCCTCAATCCCCTTTGAACCGCTAGCCCGATGGCGTCAGAGCGGCGTGTTACTGGGGAGTTGGCTCGTCTCGTCGGGCTCTTGTTTGTA